AGCTGTTCGAGCGGCAGTTCTACAGCGAGATCCTGGACGCCACGCTGACCATCACCGTCACCATGCGGACGCTGGACCTCATCGACGAGGCCTACGGCTTCGACTTCTACATTCTCAAGGTACCGGGGGGCTGCGCCTGCGCTGGTGACCTGTCAGCGCAGGTCTGAGGCTTCTGGGCTTTCATGCTCCCTTGATTGGAGCCTTGGTGTTAAAGACCAGACCCGTGATCAGATCCGTTCTGGAACATACCGACGGGATCTTTCCCTTCTCATAACAAGGGACCCACGAGCCTCTACGGCGTGTGGCTAAACTGCCGGTGTTGTCTGCGTGCCGATAAACTTGCATGTTCTCTAGCAGCAGTTCATCTCTTAGTGCAGTGTAACATCAGACTTTATTTCTCCAGACTCCAAAGGCTGATATGTGCTCGAAGCTGGGGATGGATTTGAAGCGAACAATGCTGCTGCGGCTCGCGCGGCGGGATCCTAAGCTGCATCCTGATGACCCCGCCAGAAGAGAGGCGATCTATAATAAGTACCAGGTGGGCGCCTCACCTGCTGTTCCTGCCCTGGTGTCTGCAGGGATGTTTGCTGGTTGTCCGGACCGATAACGCCCGAATCACCCTGTCACAGCACAAGCCAGCACTTGTGCCCCCGTGTTTAGGGTTAAGGGTATGGGTGGAGGAGACCTAAACATCACTGACAGGTTTTCCTTGTCTCTCTGTGGGCTGCTAATTTCTGTATTGATAATTTAGGAAGATAAAAGCCCGTGTTTTTGCTGTGATGGAGGCCGGTGAGGGTCTGCAATAAGCACTGCCCACAGCAGTGAGGATTTGTCCTGACACGGCAGCGAGGAGCCCAGACTGCGTGTGTGCAGTTTGGTTCTATGTGGCTGATGATGTTGCCAGCATAGAAACACCACCAGCATCTGCGGTGCGTGGAGTTGTGCTGGGAAACAGTCCCAGAACTACCCCAAGGAGAGGCACAGCAGTGGACACAACTGCTCAGACAAAGCAGGGCCTTCGCAAAGGGGAGAGGAGAGAGGGAAAGTGGATTTTGATTGTTAGAAATGAGGGAACAGTGTTTTGAGATTTGTCTGTAGTAATGTTCCTACTGGATTGCATCTTTGTGGGACTTGGATTTGCATCTTAGTTACCTGGAAAGACTGTACCACCTGCTCCCTCTTTTATCAGGAATTTGCGATCCCGGAAGAGGAAGCTGAATGGGTTGGCTTGAGTTTAGAAGAAGCAATAGAAAAACAGAGGCTCCTAGAAAAAAAGGTGAGTTCCTAAGGCAGTGCTTAGCTCTGAGGTGTCTTAGCTGCATCTGGCTGCACGCTGTAAACCAGATCCCCTGATCAGAAGAGAGAGATTCAGGGGGGATGGCTTGTAACTGCTGCCCCATTGTATGAACATCTTTGCTGTTGGTTGCTGTCTGCTGTGCTTCGTGTGCTTTGGGACACACAGAGAGAAGCTCACAGTCACTCAGTCTGTGACCCTCCGTCACTGGAGCTCCCTCCTTAGAAGCAATATGGGGAGGGGGGTGCACCAGGGAGCTGCTGGGGCAAAGGGGCCTCCTGGGGCGGGGGGTTCCCTTGGTGCCGTTTCCCCCAGGCTTGTTGGGAGGGGACAGGAAGGGCAGGAGCGGTGACTCCACCAGGCAGTGCTGGGCCCTGAACCCTGTGGGGTGCAGCCTCTTTGGGGGGTACGTTCTCCCGAAGGGCTTCAGTGCAGCTGATTTAGGGCAACATGAGGAGGGAGGGAAGTGTTTCTAGAAGGGATCCCTGGGAGCTTCTGGTGATTCTCATCTGCAGGCAGAACTGGGAAAGCTGGTGAATGTCCCACACAGGTGCCTGTCATCTCTGAGGCAAGGTTACAGAGCTGAGCAGCAGCTGTGGCTGGGGGGGGGAGTAGAGCAGCAGGTTGCCTCATTCAGCCACTGAAAAAAAACCTTGGCCTATTTTCCTCTGGGTTTAACTGTTAAAAGTGCTGCAGGCCTGGCTCCACAGGCCCACCATTTTACTTCACCCCTTGCTGCTGCTCAGGTTTGCTCCTTTGAAGTGGTTTATCCTCTGCTCTGTTTCAGGACCCTGTGCCACTCTTTAAGGTGTACACTGAAGAGCTCGTCAACCAGCTGAAAGAGCAGGCATCACAGAAGCAGTAGGAGGAAACAAACCTTTGGAGCAAAACCCCTGCTGCAGATCAGGCTGTGGGGTTCAGTGAGTCTTCTGTCTGAACCACGCTGCGTGGAAGGGGCCACGTGGAGAGCGTGCCCAGGAGCGTGTTGCAGTCATTGAAGTCTAATAACAGCCTAAATTCAATGAGGAACCGTTCCTGGGGGCTGAGGAAAGAATTTCTGTCCTGTGGCCTCTGAAAGCATTCTTGTAAGACTGACTTAACGTGGTTCTTCTGCCTGTACGAGTAGTTGGCTGCTGTTGAGAGCTCGATCGGGATATAAAAAGCAATATGCATTTTGGGAATATCAGTAAACTTTTCTCTGATGCTCATTGCTCGTTAGTGTATTATAGCAGGGAGCGTGTAATGCAGCAGTGGTGTGGCAGATCAGTCCCCAGCCTTCTGCAGCAGGGACAATTGTGCCCCAAAAACATGACCCCAGCCCCCTGCCTCCAGCGGTGTCTGCCAGCAGGTGGGGCTGAGCTCCTCAGCCCTGCAGCTCGCTCCAACCCCTTGGGTTCCAGCGCTGCTTCTGTTTGAAGGTGGTGACTTTCAAATCTTTTCTTTTGTGAAAATGTAGCTGAAGTGAGTGTTCAAGCCTTTGCTCCTGGCTGGCACCGAGGGACTGAAAAGCACTTACTGTAATTACACGTTAGTGAACAGCACTGTGGGTCACTGGTGTCGTCTGGAAGCTCTGTGGTCCTGCAGTGGGTTTCTGGCTGGAGGAAAACCAGCCTCTCCTCCTTTTCCCTTCAGCTCTGAGTGAGGGCTAAATGCAGAGCTTGCAGGATGGATCTCAGCTGACCCATATCTGGATTGTCACTTGTCCCCAGAAGAGTCTTCACCTTAGCTGTGTTTTGGGATGAGGCACGCTGCCCCTCAGTCTCTCTACGGGCTCAGTTTCTGAGCCACAGGACCCATGATGAGAGAGAAATTGAGTTTATAGAGCAGCGCGAGTCCCCTCTGCACTGGAATGGAGTAGGACCGCTAAGTTCTCTGTGCCTTAACGTCTGCCTTAAAGATTTGGGGGAGAGGTTCTGTGGAGGTGGTTGCTGATCTAAATGGTGGCATGTCACGAAGACCAGGCTTCTCTGCTGCGTTTTGGGCCAGGGAATGGGTTGGAGTCCTCCAAGGGGTATTTGAGGGGGTATTTGAGCCCCCAGGTGAGCGTGGCAGAGCTGCACAGCCCCTGACTGGTAGGGCTGGTTGGTCAGGAGCTGCCAGGCTGGGGCTGTGCTGGCTCTTCACAGGCACAGGAGGCTCAGCGCTGCAGGGGACAGGTTGGGTGGCAGAAGCTGGGGTGTTTCCAGCCTGCCTGCGTGGCTTGACTCCAGCAAGTCCAGCTTCTCAAGAGCAAACTGGCACAGAAGGTCACATTTGCCTAATTAATGATTTCGTAGCCAGGCCGGCACAATGACATTTGCTTATTTTCTCCTCCTTCTGCAACTGAGCTGAGTGGGAAGCTGCTGCCCAGCTCCTCAGGGACCCTGACACTCTGCCCTCATTAGAGATAATTAGCTGGGACAAGCTCCTTGTTTGACAGCTCTGCTCATCATTAGGGCCAGCACAGCTCATGCATTTTAATGCAGCTCTGAGCAAAGCTCCGGACTCTGGTTCTGTCCCAGCCCCCTCTGTAGCTTTACTGGAACATGCTGGTGCAGGTCTGGCCTCTGGGGCCCGGTGCGGCCACAGCAGAGTGGGGCTGGTACCTGCCCGGGTCCTGCCCTCAGCCTCGGGGGGGGTCCCTGGGTGCCCCCCAGCTCCTCGGTGGCGCGGAGGCTGTTTGGGGTGGCTGAGTGGGCAGTTACCAGCTGCTTCGCTGTACTGGGGGCTGGGAGGTTTTAGTTACGTAGAATTATTTTCCAGTGGTGTGGTGCCGTACCTCTCGGGGGGAGCTTTGGCTGCATGTCCTCCCCAGCTGCACTGCTGGCATCGCCTGTCCTTGATGTTGACCCTGTTCTTCAGCACTGCTCGTTGTGCGTGCCCAGGCTGCAGGAAGGTTTGCTGGGTGACGAGGGGTAGCGGGAGCTTTTGGCCGGCCCTGGGGGAGAGCTCCTGTCCCGCTGGGGGTGGGGGGTGCTAATGGGCGCACTGCAGGCGTGCCACAGGAGCTGTGGGAGCTTCTCTGTGGGGAGGCTGTTGGGGATGTGGTTAATCTGCCGTCTGAGATGGAGGCCTCCATTCTCTCATCCTGCCTTTGCCGAGAAGCCTTCCCCTTGCTCCTTGCCCTGCGCCTGTGCTGGATGGGGTCGGGAGCTTCCCCCACGGCCGTATTCCTGGGGATAGCTCAGTCTGGCAGATGCTGGGTTCCTGCCCTGCCCTGGTGAGGGGAACCGGAGGAGCTGGTAGTTTGCCATGACACTGTGCTGCCAGGAAGCCACAAACACCACAAACCCACCAGTGCAAACTGGGTGCTCTTGGCTTGAGGCTGCAGATCCACCCAGGGGCAGGGGAAGGGCTGGCCACCCAGCACAGCTGCCCCCCAGCACTGCCTCGGGCTTCAGCGAAGGTCCCCAGCTCCCGGTTCTGTCCCGAGGCCGGGCGCCATGCACGTCTAACGCCAGCCGCCACCGGGATCCTGAGCATGGCCGCAGCACGCACGGCAAATACCAGCACGCGGGAGACCCGGCAGCTTGCCAGGATGTGACAGCCACCGACGAACCGCCAGAGAGCCCTGCCCAGGGTCACCTTGGATTTGGCAGCTTAAGATAAGGCTGGGGGCGTGGTGGAACAGTGGGAACAAGGAAAAGTGATCTTGGCAAGTCAGCAATGAGAGGAAAAATCCCAAGGCAAACTGGCAGGCCGAGGTTTGTGCCGATCTGTTGATGCAGTTCCTGGGCAAGACGGCTGCTGGCTGCCATCTCGATTGTGGGATCACTGGGTGGTTTTATTTTCCTGTGCAGGGGCTGCAGCCAGTGCTGGGAGGGTTTCTTGATTGGGGGTGTAGTGACAGGATGAGGGGGAATGGTTTTAAGCTGATAGAGGGAAGATTCAGATGAGATATTGGGAAGAAATGTTTTCCTGTGCGGGGGGTGAGGCAGTGGCCCAGGTTGCCCAGAGAAGCTGTGGATGCCCCATCCCTGGAGGGGTTCAAGGCCAGGCTGGATGAGGCTTTGGGCAACCTGGGCTGGTGGGAGGTGTCCCTGCCCATGGCAGGGGGTGGCACTGGGTGGGGCTTTAAGGTCCCTTCCCACCCAAACCATTCTGGGATTCTGTGGTTTCTGACAGGGCAGGAGAACGGAGCTAGCTGCCCAAACCCAACCGTAGCGCTCCGCCTGAGGCTTCCCTGCTGGGCCATCCCAGAGAAGCATCGCTCAGCAGCACGTCTGAGCACAAACAAGGGGAGGGCTTGGGGCACGCCCCGCTTTGTGCTGGGGCTCCCTGTGGACTGCGCAGCCGTGGGCTCCTGAGAGCCGCCCTGCAGAGTCACAGCCGGGGAGGCCACCTCGAAGGCCGCCTGCCACAAGCATGTCTCGTGGTGACAGCCCTCCCCACTGTCCCCAGGGCCAGGCGGTCACGGGGAGCTGCGGAGGGTCCATCACCCCCCCAGATCAGCGCAGCTTGGTGAGGGGTGAGCCCCGTGCCTGGGGAGTTTTGTCTGTTCGTGGCTCAGATGGAGGCGGGGGGTGGCTGTGGCAGACGAAATAAGGAGTAGAAGTGGGCAGGTTGAGGTTGGAGATGAGGAAAACCTTCCCCCAGAGGCTGCTGCAGCCAGGGGCCGGTCAGTGGAGGGGGGGTCTCTAGCTGGGAGGTGTTCCAGGGGTGGGTGGACAAAGCCATGGCGTGTGACCGGTGGGCTGGGACCTGGACACCTGCTGCCATCGGCCACCGACGCTGAGTTGGTCAATCCAGGACGGAGAGATTCCTGTTTAGTTCGTTCCTCAGGTAAGAAAAATACACTGTTCTCTTTAATAGTCCCAGCGAGCCTGCCGCAAATATGGAAGTGCCTCTGGAAAGACAAAATTTGGGTGAGGTCTGGGTGACCTGCTCCAGCCCTGCAGCCAGCCCTGCTCGGGGCGGGCTGGACGGGGGCCCTCCACAGGTCCTCCAGCCTCGCTTTTTCTGTGATGTGGTTTCTAGGAGCTACTCCACCTTGGGAAGCACCAGCTGAGGAAGGGGGGTGAGTAATGAACTGGAGAAGATCAGCTACCGAGTGCTGGCTGGAGGGGAA